CTGAAAGATTGAAGTTTTAGGATTTCGAAGAGAGATTACATGTGTTTGAATGCAAGTCATTATGGCATGCCTGGTTTCATTCGTGTATCTGGTAACAGGAACGCAGTCACCTGTTGAATGTTGATGTTGATATGAAAGCACAAGTTGGTGGTTTACAAAAATTACCATTAGCCATTAGGTTTCTCCATTGATGTTGGTGTAAGCTTCTCCATTGCACCCCGAGTAATATTATTTAGTTGTTTGTAATTTGACGGTTCAAATCTCTAAATTAGGTTTACGAGCTAATATAAAATGAAGATAGAGAATACAGTCTCGTGGGGAATGATTTACTCAATTCAATATAAGTCACTAGATCATTTATTTTTCATATGAACTTTTAAATGTAGTCAAGCAAAAGTGACATGACAATTTCTTATTGGAGTTATATACAGAGGAATGATTGCGTTATGGGACTATAGCATTTTCCTAAAATCAATTCACTCACAAGTTCCTCCAATTAGTTGAATATTTGGAATACAAGCTTCGGCGGCCAACACTCGGTCTAACAAGAATCCACCCCTTGTTTTAGTACAAATCATAATCCTATTTTCTCTTAGAAAATCTACCAAATTTACACGGATTTAGGGCCTGATTGTATATAAGATACTTTGGATTTAATTGAATTTATTAGATAAAGAGAGTCAATTAGTAAAGTTAATTTGGATTTGATTGGATAACATGAGTTAATTTCAAAAAGGTTGATTGTGTGTGCATTATTTGACTTTTGTTTTAATCAGCGGGTGCATGTGAACAGTGCTCGTTGCTTTGGATGTTCGGGATCCTGGCTGATTACACTTTCTTATGACAAATCCCAAATTATAGAATTATTTACTCTCATGTTGTTGCACAAAAAGAACATGTTCATGCATATGAATTAAATAATGTAAACGAGTACGTGGCTTGTTTAATTAGTAATTATGCACCGTAAACCTTTTCTTTCTTCCATATAGTGTTTGGTACAACAATTGAGCTTGCGGTCCAGGGCCAACAGTTCGATATGCTTATTCCAAATGTATTGATGAAATGTGCAGATTTTCTAATATAATCAGGTGACTTTCTAATATTATCAGTCCAATATACCTACTTGTATTATCAGGTGACTTGTCTATAAAGAGATTATGGATGGGTGCTCAGATAATAGATTAAGAATTTCAAAACTCCAACTTTGGATGCATTTTTATCTTAGTACTTTAACTTTTAATTAGTTTTTATATCTTTTTGTCGCAAATAGTAATTTACTAATTTTAAAGATTTACAACACATAAAAATTTTACTTTACTATTGATATCAATTTATTTTTAGACCGGATTTAAGTCCACATACTTGCAGATGAAACTCACATGTGAAAGAATTTGACGGATAATACATTGTTATCTCACAGATTTAAACAACCTCGCAACTTATAAACCACAGGCGAATATCAAAAGAGCAAAATTTTAAAATATTTCCATAAAAATAAAAAAGACACAATATATGTGAACAACTGCAATATACGCTAGAATAGAAGCTGCAACAAATTATGACAAATTTCATAGTAGTTTTACACCGGGTGTTAGA